TTAATATTTTTTCGTACATAATCGGTTATCCGAACAACCCCAGTCCCCAATTGGTTCGGATAATCGACGCTCTACTCTATATACTAATATATAGTATATATATATATATATATTATTATTATTATTAATACATTAAAATTTAATCATTAATACAAAGAAACAAATTAGTTTACAATAAATTGTTTATAAAATTTCTCAATTTTTAAAAGTTTCTAAAGATCATGTGGATGAATTTTAACAACTTTTATTCATAGGATATTTAAATGCATTTATTATTAAAATTTTATTGAAAAAAAAAAGAAACGATATTTTATTATTAAAATTTTCTTCAGGAAACTACAAGAATTTCGTTGAATTGAAAGAATACAATAAAGACTTGAAAATATTAATAGCAGTAGGAGGATGGAATACAGGATCCATTAAATTTTCAAAACTATCTTCAGATTCTAAAAAAAGGAAAGTTTTTATAGATTCTGCATTGAATTTAGCAAGAAAACACAATTTCGATGGAGTTAATATCAATTGGCAATTCCCTACAAGAAGAGGTGGAAATCCTAAAGATAAAGAAAATTTCGCACTCTTAATTAAGGTAATGTTTTAAAAAAATATTAATAATTAAATAATAATTAATATTAAGTATAAAATAATAAGAGATTGTAGAGAACATTTACGAAATTTTTTGATTAATGTTTATGGACATTTAACTCAACTTGGGATTCGCAATCCACTTGATAATCTTTTAGCTGTATTTGTAAGTGATGTTAGAATTTTTGTAATGATTTAAACAGTTTAATATTAAATAGATAATTAATTTAATTAATTACAAAATATACTTTAAAATAAATTTTGCAAGTAGGGGTTTGCGATCGTCTTGATTTTTAAATGATTCGCGGGTAATGTTAAGATTTTCGTGCTTGAAAAGGTTGGGAGTATTGATTTAAACAGTTAAGTTAAAAATAATTTTTAATAATATAATTTAATAAGTAAAATAATAATGTAACATTTCTAATGTCAAAATTTAATGATTGTTTTTTTATTAAATATAAAAAAAAGGTTTTACTTACATATTTAAATAATAAAAGTAATTACTGAAAAGTAATGTAATATAACCTAAGCTTTTCAAGTAGGAGTTCGCGATCCCATTGACGGTCTTAAGATGCTTGAGAAAGTTGAGAAATGATAATTTAAACAGATTTTTGCAAAAATTTCAATGATATAATTCAAATAAATGAACAATTTAAGTTAAATACGAATAATAAAATATAATTTATAAAGGTAATCATCAAAATTTGATGATTTTTTTAGGAAATGTATGAAGTCTTTAAATCAAATAAATTAATTTTGACGATCGATATGAGTGCTTCTCCTAATATCATTGATGATGCTTATGATTTAGGTGTAATTTCTCGGTAAGTCATTAAATTTTTTCACGAATATTTAATAAATTAATGATATATTCATTCATTTTTTTTCCGTATTTTTAATATAAGAAATTCCCAAATGTTTAAATAATATTAAGTACAAGTGAGTATAGAGTCTATATTTACTCATTTATTTTGATGTAAATATTCTATTAAATTGTACTTTTTTAATCTTTAGGAGTATATTCAAAAAGCATCATTAGTTGTTATTGGAATAGTTGGTCGGTTTATCGTACAGGAAGGGGGCAATCGAGCGTAAGAGATATCGACCCCAGTTTATGTACTCACCTTATATATAATACAGCTACAATTGGAGGGCGTAATGAAGTCACTCCAGCGGATCCTTGGAACGATTTAAAAGATGGTGGAGGTAAAGGTAAGTTAATTAAAATGTTACAATTTGTAAAAATTTATTCTTCTTCAACGCTCTAACTATTTCTCTTGAGATATTTGAAATTCTTTTCTCACAATATGTAAATTCTTTAAGTACCATATAGAGAACGTAATTGGAAAAGTTGAGTTTCTATGTTGATTTTTATTATTTTATAAATTGATTTAATAGAAAATAATTTAAACAATATACTGACTTAAAAAGATCTTATATTTGTATAAGTTTTAATTATTTTTTAAACATTATTAAAAAGAAATTGCAAGACAGAAAAATTTCAAGGATTGTTTACTTAATCATATTAAGCAATTTAATATTAATAAAATTGTGTTATATATATATATATATATTATTATTATTATTAATACATTAAAATTTAATCATTAATACAAAGAAACAAATTAGTTTACAATAAATTGTTTATAAAATTTCTCAATTTTTAAAAGTTTCTAAAGATCATGTGGATGAATTTTAACAACTTTTATTCATAGGATATTTAAATGCATTTATTATTAAAATTTTATTGAAAAAAAAAAGAAACGATATTTTATTATTAAAATTTTCTTCAGGAAACTACAAGAATTTCGTTGAATTGAAAGAATACAATAAAGACTTGAAAATATTAATAGCAGTAGGAGGATGGAATACAGGATCCATTAAATTTTCAAAACTATCTTCAGATTCTAAAAAAAGGAAAGTTTTTATAGATTCTGCATTGAATTTAGCAAGAAAACACAATTTCGATGGAGTTAATATCAATTGGCAATTCCCTACAAGAAGAGGTGGAAATCCTAAAGATAAAGAAAATTTCGCACTCTTAATTAAGGTAATGTTTTANAATTTAAAAAGAATTGTATGAAAATTTAAAGTTTTACAACTTTTTAAACATTTTTTTTTTTTTAATTTTAAACATGCAAAATACTGCTCTCTTATTTGTAAAGTTATATATTTTAATTAAAAAATTCATTACAAATGATTAAAAAAAAACAGAAAAAAAACACATGAAAAATATTCTTAAAGTTAAAATTGTAAGAAAAATTTTAATTTAACGAAAAGTTTAAAAATGATTTTTTAAAGAGTGAATGATGAAAAATCGATATTACATTACACTATTGCAGAATATCGATTAATTAAACAATGTAATAACAAAATTTGTAATTAAGCCATTACAAATTGTAATTTGACAATGAAGCTATAACAATCTGTCAATTAATATTTGACATAAAATCTATCAAATGACTCAACGTTAATTATATATATTTTACATTACATTTTCATTCAAATCACTACTAATTAATCCTTATATATTTTCCTTCTTTTAAAATCTCTATTTTTCGAATAATATCTTAATTTTAATTATCGCAATTTAATTTATTGTTATTAAAATTTAAGCACTTCATTTTATGATATCGGCTTATATATATGTACTGTATATAGAAGAGAATATAATAATATCACTAAATAATTGAAAGGCTATTCTATACATTCAATTAATTTTCCAACCTTAATTTGGAATGTGATTTTAAGGATACTGTTTTCATTTATACAATTTTAAATATTTATTTGATTAATTAATAACAATATAATAGCGAATTTTTATTATACAGGATGGCCCAAAAGTCAATTAACTGTACGTTGTATATTTCAGGACGTCTTACACTTAAGAATATGAATTATAATCTGAGTTTAGAATGTAGTTCTTTCGTACAATTGTTGAACAGAGCAGCAATTTTGTATTTATAATGGTTAACTGACTTATGGACCACCCTTATTTTATTCAATTGCTTCTATGTAATTATATGTTGAATAAAGAAAACTGTAGAATGTTAAATGGAGATTTTTAGAAGAGGAAGTGTAATTATTTAGGAGAAAAATAAGTAAATTTATGGCGAAAAAATAAAGATTTCTTTTTATCTTTTAGATTTTAGTTTTCTAGAAGAAACTAAATGAAATTTGTAACAGAATGTATTAATTTCCCAAGGCGACAAAAGAGCAATCATGTTTTTTGGAATTCAAGAATTCGAAAAAAAATGGAGACAAAGAAAATATTATTTCGTCTTTTATGAAGTTATTGATCATAAAAGACGTAATATAAGTCTCAAATACTAGAATGAATACAATCAGATACATATAATTTTTAAAACCATACTGTTTATACGATTGACAACGTTTCTAAACATTGTAGAAATGATAAACTAATACTATTGTACAATGGTAAACCAATTATAACTGTTAAAATAGTACAAATAGTAAATCTACACAATTGTACAGACTGTAGATGACACAAAGAGTAAATTAAAGCAATTGTATAGCTAGTAAATCTGCACAATTGTACAGCTAGTGGATAGAACAAATAGTAAATCAATACAATTGTATATAAGTTAATATCTGATATAAGTTGATATAATTTATATTGAATAGCAAAATAGACTAAAATTGTCAAATTTATTTTAATACATACACTTAAAAATATATTTTTCTATTTAATTATACGTTCAATACTCTTAAGTATGTAGCTGAGTATTATTTCTCTAAGTATTGTTATGTACTGTACAGTCACATAATATATAATATAGAAGACATTCGGAAATGTGCTCTTATAGATATCCACTATTTATTAAACTTATATACTGACATTTGTCTGATAGTTCAGGATGGAGACTCCTGACAGGATGTATCTGATAGTTAAGGACGTATGATTGATTTAGGAGAGACGGTGCATTCAGTAGATAGTAGCTTTAACTTTATGATTATCTTATTGATAAGGCAGAGTAGTTGAAAAAAAGTTTAACTAGGTTTATTTAATGAATTAATTGATAAACCTATAATAGAATCATAAAGTCAATTTGAACGTTCCATATAATGATAAAACATCAATTGAAATCTGTAAATGTAGAGAATATAGGCATCTTCTTGGGACTCCACTTATAAAAAGCTCCAAGAGAAGGCCCTTCCAAGCGCTATTGATTTTAAATAATTCTGAATTTGAGGGCCTCAAAAATGGCTGGTGCAATAGGACTCCATAAACTCTATAACAGTCGCTACATTCATTATTTACAGATGTCTTTTAAATATTTATATATAGATCAACTGAATAATAGATGTTTATAATCATTCTAAAATATCTATTTTTAATTAAAATTAAATATTTACTTTAAATTTTATCATTTAAAGTAAAGTTATTTGTATAATATGCACATTTGTTTGCTTTTTTACTAAAATAAATTTTGTACAAGATTCTAAAGGTTATATAAATTTAATAATCGTAATCTTATTTAATTCCCATAGTACCTTATTATAGTAAAGTATAACCTTATTATAACTCATAATACTATTAAAGATTGATGCAATTCCCCAAAAATTATCCAGTATATTACGAAAAAACTAATAAAATGGTGAACAAAATCATGCCCCAACACACACACAGACAGACAAACAAACATCCATACATATGTAGAAAAGACTTCTTTATATTTCTCGGCATTTGAAGGTCCCCGAGTCCATTTTTGGATTCAGGGGAACCTCAGGAAATCTTAAATTTGTTTAATTGATTCCATTTAAACTAACTGAAAATTATTATATTATTTATAAAACCGTATTGTACCTCTTATCTAATATCAACATTTATCATTGATAAAATTAATAATAAAGTTAATCTAAATGTGAGTCACGCATGTGTTAATTTTGCTATTTTCTCACACATATTTTAACATTTCTATTGATAAAGTTGGCAAAGTATTTTAAAATTTGTATTGTTAAATATTTAAATGAAGTTAAAGCTTTTGTTTGATTCTAAAAAAAAAAAAAAAATCGAAGAGTTGTATCGATTTTAGATAATGTAAGGCCCTAGAATAGTGAAGCTTTTTTTTATTAGGTTCTTTAGGCTTGAATGTGCAATGTATAAAAACTACTCTACAAGATATACAAGGTGTCCCGTACGTTTGAAATTATAGGTGGAATGAGGCTAAGCAACACATGGGCGATCTGCCAAGGGAGTGCTTCCCAGGAGGATTTTCTATGAGAAAGTAAACCTTATTTGTGCTACACACGTAAAGAAAGCCTGAAAAACTGCACGTGACTAGCCCATTGGTGAGGCGCAAATCCGCTATGTAATTGGTGGAAAGTTTGGATGTATCATGTTAAACTATTCGGCAATTTAACTCGAGTTTTCACCATCGAAATAACTTAAATTCTTTTCTCCTTACTCAGTTCCATGCTTTACCTGTAAGATCAACACGGGATACCCTGTATAATGGACATCTTATAACGCATAATTAAATAATTTCGAAGATACAAATGCAAATTTTAATTTATTTTTTTTAAAAAAAATTAAGTTTTGTAATTTATTTGATTCAAATCTCCAAACAAAGGATTAGATATTTTCATGTATTTGAACTAACCTTTAAATTGTGGATACGTTGATAATTGCCATAAACTTAAAGGCTTATATGACTCTGTCTACACTAAAATCATTTTTAAGATGTGAATAATGGCGTAAGTTAATTAAAATGTAAATAATAATAATATAAACACTTACATTCAATGACAATTTACAAGTAATTTAACTTATATTTTTAAAATTAAACTCTGTTTAATGATATTGTTAAAGTATAACAGAGTAATTTCTCTAGTTATAAAACATAACTGAAGATGAAAACTTTGCCTTAAAATTAGATGGAAACTAGTAAAATATTTATTTGTATACATTATGTACATATAAACATACGTGTATACTATTCACTGTCCTACAAAGTACATACTATATTTTATGCTAGAGAATAATGAGTAAAAGTAAGAAGAAATTCATTGATTCTCCATAATGACTTATCTTGGTGATCATTCAGATAACACGCCATAGAAGATACTTTTCATGGAGCATTATCAAAATGATTATCAGGATATTTAATATAATTAAACTGTAAAATAAGAACATTATCACCGGAAAGAATCGGAAATTAACTCTCAATTTTTAAAGTGACTTAGTTTCTTAATGTATTTTTAAAATACATGATAATGGAGATGATGCTAATTTAGGACAATGTTAACTTTATTTCTTCTTTGTTAGAGGAATAAATGGTATGAAAGTAAGTAGTAATGATGGTTAAATCTCAGAAAATTTTAATAGAATAGTAAAGAAACTTACTGATAAAAGCTGATTTATATTTATCTTTATTAATTTTCTCCAATATTTCATTATATTTTAATAGCATATCCTCAACTTCATCTTTATGTTAATTAATATAGAGGATTTAAAACTTTCAAATAATTAATTCTACTAAATAATTTACACGTGAATGTGTATAAAAATATAAACTAGTCCTCATAATTGTGTATATTTCTCAAATATATTGTAGAAAAATATAAAATTCGTATTGAAAATCGATATTTATTGATGGAAACACGCCTCTTCTACGTGATTTTATATCGAAATGATGTCTCTATACGTCTGTATAGATGTATATGAGGTTATATATTATAAACGTAATATGTGAAATATGGAAAAACATTAAAAAAAATAATTTTAAAGTGAAAAAATTCCTTATTTTCACGCGATAACATCTGTTCCTCTTACACGCATCCTAAATTATATATTTAGAATTACGAGATTTATTTTTTAAGCCTCAAATTTATCTTATTCATAATTAAATTTTATTTATAAGAAATAAGTATAAAAATAAAATAATATTTTAATTAAATTATTTAAGTTTTTAATGAAAATATTACTTTTACAATATAAATTTGAATTTATAATAAACTAATCGTTATTTACAGCAACCCATTAGTGCCAACTAATATGTTATCAATTTAGATTTTATGAGAAATTTTAATTAATTAATTAATATATTTATAAATTATATTAATATATATATCTAATAATATATCTGATATAACTAATTATCTTGTAAATAAATTTCCTTATCAACAATTTAATTTAGATTCTAATTGTAAAGTTTATCTGGAAGATAAATGTTTTTGACATTTATCTGAAGATTTTATAAATAAAACTTTAATTTTTATGTGTAATAATTTGTGTTTTTGTTGCATTGTTTACTCGTAAACTTATATTTGCTAGTAAGCATCTTTCTTCAGCACGAGACATCACGTAGAAACCAGTATCACCAATGAAAAAAAAAGCAAAGAATAGAAACAATTCAAAAAGTATGTTTACATTTACATTTTCTGTTATTTTTTATTATTATTTTATGAAGAAATGCTTAGTTTATATATCACAGTTGAACTTGGTTCATAAATTAAGTATTTTTTAATTGTTTTTCTGATTACTTTCTATTTTTTTTTTTTTTCTTTCTTTTAGTTGTGAAACCAGTATCACCAATAAAAGAAGTGATAAAAGAAGTTATGCGATGTCTCGTGCTGAAGAAAGATGCTTACTAGCAAATATAAGCTTACGAGTAAACAATGCAACAAAAACACAAATTATTACACATAAAAATTAGAGTTTTATTTACAAAATCTTCAGATAAATGTCAAAAACATTTATCTTCCAGATAAAGTTTACAATTAGAATCTAAATTAAATTGTTGATAAAGAAATTCATTATGTTATAATCAGTTCCATCCGATATATAAAAATCCAGCAAAGAGTTGAATAACTTGTATACAAGACGGCTCAAATCATTGTGAAGAGTACAATGCGGTCCAAAAGTCAATTAACCGCGTAAACAGTTGGAGGGGGGAAAAGCTATTATTTTTCTTCACATATATTTAAAATTCTTTACCATTTTCCATTAGGTTAATGTAACAATTGCAAAATTAAAACTTTAAGATAAATTTATTATTAAAATTATATAAAATATATTTATCAAGCATCAAAGAAGAAAAATTGAATTTTTTTTTCTCTCAAGCAACAAGTTGTTTTTCCATTAAGATAAATTTCCAAAAATTAATGAAACGTGAAATAAATGTAAATGATAATGGAGATGAAAAAAATCATGTAGAAGAATAATGTTTCTCGGAGGACATCGCTAGCAGATGGCCTTTTATTATGCCATAAATATGTTCTATAGATAAACACAATGAATGGATCCGTAGAAAATTTCTCTTCTAGAAGGGGGTTTTGTGCTAGTTTCTAATTCATATTTTCATATTATTTCCATAATTTCAATCAATATTTCTGTTCTCGTTTCATGTTTATAATCGAAAAATCAAATATTATTCTCCTGATCTTCATTCGCTCTCTTTTCATTTAATGGTATAAATTTTAAACTTGATTATTAATTACATTAGCTATAACATTGTACAACAAACAGACAAACTTTTATAGATTTAATTATATAATTTACAATATAAGTACAGTATTTTATAAATTTTTGAAAAGTTTTGAAAAATACTTTGGTAGAAGTTAAGAAAAAGACAAAAAATTTGGCAGAATTTCAGCTTTGTCAATTGTAAAAAACCAATGATATGAAGATAATGTATAAAAATGCCAAATTGTTGTCTATATCCTTTCAACTTTCATTCTTTTCTAAAGGATTTCTTCAGTAAAAATCCTTTAGAAAAGAATGAAACTTTGAGAAAGAAATTCTTTTTACTTCTTAATAATAACTAACCTGTAACTAACTAAAGTTTATTTATATATTTAATTAATTAATTTAATCATTTATTATTATTATTATTAATTGGATTATATACACGTATGTACAGTACAAAAAAAAAAAACGCAAATTTAGATCTGCAGAAAAAATACAATAAAAATTCTGATAAAATAAAAATAATAAAAACCATTTTCTTTCAGTCTAAACATGTATAATTATACACAATTCTTATAGGCTTATATTGATATAAATTCCATATACACGATATATTATTATTATTATTATATACAACAACGCAAATTCTCTGAAAACATTTTTAACATTAAAATGTAAGTTGGTACGAAAGAAAACGAAAAACAATAGAAACAAAACACGGTTAACTGACTTTTAGACCACCCTGTACTTGCTAATATATACAAGAACATGAAATTTATATTAAAATTTACTTGTGTATATACATTTATATATATATGTATGTATATAACTTTTTAATTTAAACTTGTGCAATTATTGTTATACAGGAATGTTGACTTTATACACGTCACCGCTTTTGATTACTGGGGTTATTGGGAACCGATTACAGGATTTCCAGCTGCATTGTTCGCTAGAGTAAAAGACATCGACGTCAGATTGAATGTCGTAAGATTCATCATCATTATTATTTAATTACTTTAATTTTAATATATACATTTACTCGGTCTCAGATTTACACATAAACTAACTTAGGACCTCGCATTTTTAAATTTATTATTATTTCTTTTTAGAGGGGAAAAGCCCCTTATATATATATATATATAAGCTAAAAGCCTTATATTATTTACATTTTTTTTTATTATTAAATGGAGAGAAAGGGCCTCTTATGAATCTAATCTAAATCCTGTATTTATTATAGGATATATTATAAAAGAAAACTAAGTTATAGCCTATAAGTAATTTGTATTAAGAATTTAAATGAAATATTTACTACAGAATTATACGGTATCGTATCTAAAATCGTTAGGAGTCGATTTGAAGAAGATTGTTATCATTGTATCATCGACGTCACAAACTTGGACTTTAGATGATTCGTCAGATACGTCTGTCGGTGCTAAAGCTACAAAACCTGGAAATAAAGGATCCTATACTCTACATCCAGGAATTTTATCATATTACGAAGTAATTAAACACTCTTATATAGTGATGAAGTAGATGAAATAATCGATTAGAACAATTTATCTTTCTTCTTCTTCTTTTTAATTTAGACTTGTAAATTGTTAATGCAAGATGGATGGACAATTAAATACGACCCCGAAGCTAAAGTGCCGTATGCTTATCGTGGAGATCAGTGGATCGGATATGACGACGTCAAGAGTGTTTCCGAAAAGGTATGTTTATGATTCTCATAACTGTTTATAAGTCTATTATTTAGGGCCTCGAGGCTCTAACTATAGACTTTTTTTTTTTTTTTAATTATTTGCTGAAGGGGTAGGCCTCTTAAACCTTAGGGCCTCAACAAGCTTAAATATGCTATTAAGTATCTCTAAACATACTTTTTAAAACAGTATCTTTCTCTAAATTTTTATCACCAGAAAAATTCAATAAAATCATTATTTCTCGTAAATAGGGTGGTTCAAAAGTCAATTTATTCAAGCAATTAACTATCAAAACATTTTTTTTTTAAAAATTATAATTTAATTTGTTAAAGCATTGTAATTTATGTATTTGAAATAAAAAGCTATCTGTTTTATAAGTTTGTAAGTACTGTAACTAACAAAGTAATTAAATAAGGCAACAGTTGAAAGAGTTTTTATAATAGTTAACTGATTTTTGGGCCACACTACAAATATATAGGCCTATATTAAATAATATTTATCTAGTATTTATTTTGCTGTTTAAAATTACATTTAACATTAATTGTTCATCTGGTATAGATGATTAGAAAATGGTATTGTTCCTTCAGATACAGACATTTTCCAGTTGGTTTGATCAACTAAAGAAACGTTTTCTATCAATTTGGGAGGAGAAAGATCAATTTTCTCTTAGTTTTCTCAGTCAGGAAATGAAACTAATCAAACAAAACATCTCCATGCATGAGATTCTCTATGACAGAATGCAATCATTTCATTCTTATATCTTACATAGAAGTGCAGTAAAGATATACATTGATTGATTAACTAAAATAATATATAATTAAATTTTAATTTTACTGTATATTTTTAGAGTTTTTTTTTTCCAATATTGAAACTTTAATTAGTTATAATAATAATAATAATAATTATCAGGGCCTTCGAGAGGGACTTTCGTATCACTTTTATCTTTTCGAACCCATCTTCAATTTAAGGCCTTCCAAATGAATCTGTTGATTACCCAATAAAATGTGGGGCTTGGTGAATCTATTGGCCTCCTGTAAATATAAAGTCTGATGAAATATGAGGTCTTCCAAACGACTACACTACTGAAAGGCCTGATAATTATTACATATAACTGTAAATTTATATTTATAATAAATTTTAAGTGTAAAATAATGTTTATAATTAATTTTTTTTCTACAGGTTAAATACGTTAAAAATAGTGGATTAGCGGGCCTTGGTCTAAATTCTCTCGATCACGACGACTTTCGAGATTTATGTGACAATGACATTTATCCTCTTTTAACGGCAATTAACGACGTTCTCAAATAAATTTTTTATTCTCATTTACTCGCTTTAATGACGATTAACGAACGTATAAACTTTGACATTAAAATAATAATTATGAAAAATAAAATAATCCTCTTATTTTTTTTTTTCATATACTTTAACACACATGTTCCTGCTTTTAATGGCAATTAATGACGTTCTTTACCGAATTTTTTTTTTTAAATTTATATTTTAATGACAATTAACTATGTTTTGGAGTGACTTTTTTTTAATCGCTTTAATGACAATTAACGATATTCTCCAACGAATTTCTTCACGTAAATACTTTAAAATTCGATTTTTAATTTTATAACTTGGGAAATAAAATTAAATCTTTGAAACAATTCTCTTATTTTTCATATACTTTGACACACAAACACACACACACATACATTTTTTTTTTCCTATAATTTAATCCGTATCAAGCGGAATTTGATATCGAATAGCAGATGATACTGTCAATCACAATAATCGATCGCATTTTTCTAACATTCTTAAGAATATTAAATTTAAGAGAAATATATATTTAATTTTTCTTTTAATAAAAAAAAAATAATAATAATAAAATATCAAAGATTTTAATTTATTTAATTTTTTATTTTATTTATGTATTATTTATTTATCTATATCCAATTATTACAACATAAAAAAAAAGAACAGGAAAAAAAAAAGAATCTATTTTAAAAAATTCTATTTACTGTAGATTTTATTGAATATATAATTAAATATATTAAAACATAAAATATTCTATCGAATATTTTACACGAATTTCTGTTAATTTTGGACGAATATCTACAGTATTATGGAAGGAATATTTTTTTTGTTCTTTTTAAGTAATTCATCTAAAAAAAATTAAATTATTTATTAATTCTATAAGTCTTTATGTCTTTTTTTTAAAGTTTTTTTTTTTTGTTTTTTTGGATTGAAGAATCATTTATTTGTGCGAAGTCGGCAGAGAATGCTTCTGCAAATCGATTATATACATATGGCGTCACGCTTCTTCTTCCTACTCCTCCTCATCTTCGTTGAAATCACAATATTGTATCCAACATCAACAAACTCCTTGATCGTGCTTCATCCTGTAAAATTAAATTTACTTTATTTACTTTATAATGTATTATTATATAACGAAACACCTGCGATACGTTATTATATTATCATTCAAACAAACAGTATTGTAGATACTTTTTTTTCCCTCCCCCCCGGATATCAATCTCTCAAGATGTAATTTAGCATTTGTTTTCTTAAATTTAAGGAGGGAAAAAAGCTTAAAAAGTAAGAAAATTAAGAAAAAAGTGTGAAAAAATAAATAAAAATAAAGAAAAAACTTCTCAAAGAAGTGATCTATTCAGTGAAGTAGAAGACAAATATCCGGAATTCTAGGAACTCCAATAATAGTTTCGAGTTCTAAAGATTGAAATGACCTATAAAAGGCACAATTCCTATATATTAATGCCTTGTAGTGCTATAACTATTTTTTATATATTGCCGAATAAGAAAACGAAATGTATACGTCTGTGAAAACCGGAATTATATCAGGGAACATTTTGATGTTTAAAATATTTATTAAAAAAAATTAATTTAGTTTAAAATATTGTTTTATTTCACTTCAATAAAAAGGAAATATTATCGGTGTACACTATCTTTCCTCTTTTTTTTTTTTTTTGTGAATTAGATGCGAGGCTTTTTAACTGTAGACTCATAACGCGAGGCCCTAAGTTGAGGCTTGTTTATCTTATGTACAAATTGAACATTGTTATATTGATGTTTCCGATTACTTACATGTAAATTCTCATCATTCTTATATAAGAACGATGAGAAATGGATCACCATTGTTGTTATATTAGGGGATAGAGTTTACTCAAAGTTCTAGGCTGAAGAAAGAAAGAGAAGGAGATGATGAGAGAGAGGAGAATAAAGTGATGAGAAGGATGAAAATAAATACGAAATTTATTGAGAAATATTTACATACCAAACGAGAAATGATGAATTTATCCATTCTCCTACGGTACAAGAATTATAACAAGGATTTACATGTGAAAAGTAAAATGTGCACATCTTCGTCTTTCTTGTTAGACACGTTATCACGGTTTCAACTTGTTAGATGCGAACAAACGATTTAGTATAGATTCAAATACAATCTTAGAATACGAATATCTTTCTATTGTATTCCTCACTCGAGAGGCAATGCTTTATATTTCACGAACCAAAAGAGTATGGAGTGACATATAAATAGAAACTCGATCCACAAAGCGAAGATTTAACTTGTTATTTTCTTTTAAGTCGTTCAACCATGCAGAATACGAATTTCTCGACGGACGTGTTAAACTATATGTTTCCCTCCTACTTCTATGACAAGTACACCATTTTATATCGTGGGGGTAAATTTTTACTCAAGCTTAAACTTAAAACGAACGTCAAGCAACACTTTACAATTCGTCTGTTACAGATTTAGAATTTTAAAATTTTATATATTTATATTTTTAATCGATATTTTGTATTAAAATATAAATTTTTTAAATGTATTTTTTATAGTTTAGTATTTTAATAATTGAATTAAGTTATGATTACATTTATTATTGCTTAGTAAAGTATTATTGACTTATTCCAAAACCGTGTCTTTTAATTATTCTTTACTTCACAACTGAGTGCATAGGTAGACACTGGGCATCTTTAACACACTGATGCCTAGTGTTTACTTATGCACCCAGTTGTGAAAGTAAAGAATAATTGTTCAATTATGTTATAAGCACATTTTCCTTTCACCGCAATTTACTTATATACTTTAATTACTCACTTTTTATTTACAAAAAACACGTTGTTCTCAGCTTAGTTTACGATAATTTTAGACTGTCTTTTACAGTGGCGTGCCGTGACATTTGATGATAGGAAAGCTGTGTTTCTGTAAGAAGCCGACTTCCAGGGGCAATCAGTTAAATCTTTAAATGTATTTTTAATAGATTATTTATCTGACGTAAGTAATAAATAAACAAGTTCAATATAATTACCTCTGTTAGATTCCCTACGACCTCTAAATGCCGATTCTCGCTTTGATAAAAACATATAACATCTATTAATTTAAATATATTTATTAGCCGTAACTATTTTGTTATAATTTTCNCTTTTGAAATTCAATTCTTGTACTTTTTGGCCAAAGAAAACAATTCAATTTAGTTTTTAGTATCAATTACCTGAATAAAAATACTCTTTTAATGTATCCATTGTCTTTCTATTATTGTGGATAATTAATAGTTTACCAAAAAAAGAAAAAAAACTCATTGTAAATACAGTATATTTGAAGGTTTTTCGAGGTTAATTATTTTCATTATTTTGTCTTCAACTGAATAAATAGTTGGCATCTTGCTTAGGTAAAATGGCACTGTGACAAATTTAGAGATACAAATTTTCTCCACTAATCTCTTTTTATACATGAAATTTATGTAAAAATAGTATAGAATTTTATTATTTTAAACATAAAATAGGTTTTTTAGATTAATGTATTTATTTATAAATATGTACTGTACAATATAGATTACGTGTCTACCTTTGGAAATAAAGAAGGGACAGAAATTTATTTCATCGAATGACTATGAAAGGGTTTTTCAACTTGCTACATGTAACTATATACAAACAACAACCATTATTTCACAGACTTATACTGTATTAAAATATATACCAATAAAAACCATCGACTTCGAAAAATCCCCGTGTTTCCAGATGTCTCCCTCTGATAGACAGAGGGGAGATAGGAGTGGTTTCCTTTTGCTCCTGGATCCTCCCTTAGAGAACATTACCTGTAAACTTAGAGATAAATGATAAGAGCTTCATGAGGTCACGGAAGAACAACGAATTTCGGTTTAAAATATTACATTTAGCTACTTTTCTATGTTTTATTCACCCCAGTTTAATTTTATTATGTAAATGTTGAGATTAACAATATTCCAACTCCTTTTTCATGGAGAAGAGAGCCATCAGAACCGTTTCTACTAGAGTAAGGGATTAATTCAACCAATACGAAACTCTGCACCATAAAATTTCCTACACTATAAAAATTTTCTAGAAAATAAATTAATTTTTTATATATATATAGGCCTATATAATATATTATACACCTTAAAATCATTCATTGCTCAGTAAAATGTTACTTTGAGTTTTGGAAATTTATGTGCTGGATTTCATGCCTTGGGACTGGCTTAGATACAAATATTACCTTACACACGCCATTTATTTTGCGATAAGAGCTTGATGAATATTTATAGTGATGTCGGACGAGTTTAAATTGTAGAATATCTTTCAAAGCTTTGTGATATCCTTCAACCATAAACTTTATATCGAAATCCAAGCTGTTATCTTACTTAAAATTTAATAAAACAAAATAAAATTATCTCTAATTTTATCAGTTTACATCAATTCTTCTCACACGCGACATACGAAATCGTAATATCACCGGTTTAACATTCAAATCCGTAAGTAATATAAGATGGGAGAGCGGAATAAAAGCAAAATAAATATATCAAATATATTAAAATATTTGATATATTTACTTTGCTTTTATTCCGCTGGGTTTTTTTAAAACTTCTGTCAACTATACAGAGCTATCATAAAAACATACTAGTAAATTCTTATCGGTTGGGTTAAGTTATAAATCTATTCATAATTCACATAATGGGGCGAGGGTGGCCAAATATCTAGCGGGCAGTCGGCTAACAGCCCAGAACCGGTCCCGGATAGAATTGGAAGCGTTACGTGTGAAGCTTCCACCCGAGGTCCTAGACTTCCACCAGCTAAACCGGGTGAGGTTGGTGCTCTGTAATCGCGAATCTGTTTGGAAGCCGACAATACAGCGCTTCCACTCCGCGGTTATAATAAAATATTGTACGATTATTTTCATATAATTAAAATTAATATGTATTTATTTTTTAGAAAATACGAGGGAAGCGGCGCTTCCACCGCTTCCAATGACGGCACGCCACTGTCCTTTATATTCTCACTGTATATATTCTCGTTGTAAAGATATACAGATAGTCTAAAATTAGTTCATTTATTATTTAAGATTGAATTACTGTCTTATTCTTCTGGTTGTACAGACATAAAGGTGACCCTATAGCCGGTTCATCACAATTTAGACTAAATTAATATCTTATTGTAATTTATTCTATTAATATTTCTGTATTTTTACCAAAAAGGTGTAAAAAAGACAGGGAAAGAATTTTAAAAACTGCAAAAAAGCACTAATGTAAAAGATAGAAAAAAAAAAAAGGAAAAAAACCAGAAACGAGTTGCTTAACTTTCCAGGCAAGAATTAAAATTGTGTGTGGTGCCATCTGTTATGAGATTTTATTAAATTCTTTTTATATTATTAATTATTATAAAATGGCAAAAAGCTTAATTTTGAGGATAAAGATGAGTTATATAAATAATTAGAAAAATGTTTATTAACTCAGACCCCTTTTGAGATATGGCACATGGCCCCTTCGATCTCTAACCACCAAAAATTTAATAGCATCAACTTTCCTAATACACAAACTTCCCTGCAAAATTTCAGAAATTCTCGACAAAAGCACAAGATTAAAGCCCAAAATGGCTGAACAAAATCGTGCCCCCTCCCCACACAGAGACATTTAGACACACACACTCACACATACAAAAAAAAAGCTTTGTTTATTTCATTTTAATTTTTTTATTTTTGTATAAAAATACAATTTGTAAAAGTAAACAAATCTATTTATTTCCACTTTTAATCTTTTATTTATTTATTTAAATTTTTTTCGTGTATTACATTCGAAAAATACCGCAGAGATTATCTAAAATAGAGAAAAAGTTGTTCTTAAAAATAATATTTTTTTTTTAGAAATGGACTTTTGAAATTCAATTCTTGTACTTTTTGGCCAAAGAAAACAATTCAATTTAGTTTTTAGTATCAATTACCTGAATAAAAATACTCTTTTAATGTATCCATTGTCTTTCTATTATTGTGGATAATTAATAGTTTACCAAAAAAAGAAAAAAAACTCATTGTAAATACAGTATATTTGAAGGTTTTTCGAGGTTAATTATTTTCATTATTTTGTCTTCAACT